TGCATAAAAATATTTTAATATTTTATCAACGGAATCAAAATAGTGATATCGCACACCTCAATCTAAAGTAAGCTAACTTATCGAATTTTCGGAGACTTTTTTGGACTTAGAAAATGTTCCTTTCATTGAATATAAACAAGAAAACATAAAACAAGGACGTTTACCCTTTTCGAAACGATGCATTTTCAATTTATCTAGCCTCCTATAACAAAATATGATGTATAAAAAGTGAAGTTAGCAACTTTTCACTCTAAGCTAGCGATATTATGTATTAAACTTTATAACTGCGATGGAAAACCAGTACCGATTTTTTTGTATGGTTGCACCATAATGTACATACAAACTTACATACAGATGTTCCTATGTAATGGCGTTTTCGTTTCTACCGAAAAATGTTGCCTCCTCATTGCCCTCTAAGCACAAACACTAATAGCCAGGCAATCAAAAAGCAACATATTTTGTAGAAACGAAAATGCCATAAGTGAATATGTAATTTCATCTTATACTAGGTTCACATATAAGTAGATTATCCTCATTTTCGAGCTTAACACCCTAATCTGTAATTATAACAAGAGATTAGCCATATAAAATTCCTCCCTTGTTAATCTGTAATTATAAAATAATCTCAGATTTAACCGATATCTTTTCGGTGTCCATCCTAGTTTTATCGATTGTTTTTGCGAAAGAGAGGAGAAATGCCAAATGTAAAAGTAAACAAAAATGTACGCTAGAAAGTAAAAGAGGTTTGTAAAGGTATTTTTAATAAAATGTTAAGTTAAAATATATTTATATTGCTTATTATGGCAGAAAAACGTGATCACGGTGGCACAGAAAAGAAACATAAATTTTCCTTGAGATGTGAGAATAACAAGCACAACAAATTTGACGGCTAATAATCTGAGATTTGCCTGTGTAAACGGGGTGATTAAAAAACGAGCTTTGGTTGAGATAATATTGATATGTGAACATAGTTTTAGTTGTGACTCATGACATAGCCCTTAGAATGCAGCTTCATTATCTTTAATCAACTAAACGAATATTCATAACTGTTTTCTCCGAACAACACCAGGGAAAATTAATAGAATTTCGTTTAAAATTTTGAATATTGGTTTAGTGCTAATACACGATTTCAATTTTATTCTTATGAATACAAAATTAATTTCTGAAAGAAATAAACGTAAGTTATTTTTTATAATATTTGCTCATGGATCTCGTTACACGTGCCGCTATTTTAAAGCAATATAATTTTTATTTTATTTTTTCATATGAATCTTTATAATCTATATATTAATACGCTAACATAAATTTTGTCTCCGTTCGATTCTACCGAACCGATTTCAAAACCAAAAACACCGTTGGAAAGACATTTTTTCCGTAGATGAGCAGAGTTTTTATGGTTTCACAATTGGTTGAAAATTACGGTCAAAACCGTCGTTTAAACATTTTCGAATTGTGTATAGATGTTGCTGCAACATGTTCAATTTGACATGTTTCGCCTGTTGTTTCACTACACATTTGAAATTAAGCTTTGATGAAGAAATAAATGATAACGATGAAGTAAAAAAAAAGAAGGCAAAAGTCAAGATAAAGACGAAAATGGAGACAATGACAGATACATAAGAATTAGGGTAACTAAAAGGGTAAGAACATTTCTTGAATTTATGAAGTGAAACTTCTTTAGCGGCAGTTGGTTGGTTGGGAGTAAATTGTCAAATTCAAGGGGAATAATGCACATGGAAATAGTTCTCAGCGGTTTACCAGTTTGAGAATAAAAACAAAAACAAAGATGCCTAGAGGTACAGGCAAAAACGAAGATCAAAGTAAATTTAAACACTTTAAGGTAAAGGTGAAGAGGAATATGCAAAAATAAAGATAAATATGAAGAAAAATATGAGGATGAAGATCGATATTGTTATCGATATAAAACTCGATATTTTTATCGATATAATAATCGATATTGCTATCGATAAAATAATCGATATTGTTATCGATACTGTTATTGATTAAATAACCGCTATTGTAATCGATATAATAATCAATATAATACTCGATATTGTTATCGATACAATAATGAATACGGTTATCGGTATAATAATCGATTAAATAATTGATTTTGTTATCGATTTAGTCATTTATATTGTTAAAGATATGTACAATAATAGATACTGATAATTGTTATATTTATCGAGAAATTAATCGATTTTACAATCGTTGTATTTTTCTATATGTTTATGGATATTGTTGTCGGTATTTTTATCGACACCGTTATCAACAGGGTTATCGATACAGTAATCGGAACATGGAAT